TCTGTTCTAGATCGAAATAATCATAGCAAAAGTTTGTTGCGTCTTTTCGTCTCAATTGAGTTTCATTCTGAGATGGTGGTGAGTGCGAAGGTCGTTGTGATTTATTGCAGTTGTCAACTAAATCCTGATGCGAACTCTGATACAAGCTCAATTTCAGACCACAGCTCTTAGCGGCGAATTAACGAAAACATCGACAGAGATTTGTCGGTGAGTGATGAGATCCGTTTATCAGGATTTTTAGATGTATTTTGCCCATTGTCACGACGCTTCTCATTGAGACCTCGGTTTGAAGCTCAATAGTATCAGTATTGCAGTGTGAGGGATGTGAACGAATGGAATTAGTATCTTAGTATCTTATCTTATTAACGAGTATTATTTTTGATTAGTTTCAATCATTACCGATAATGATAATATTATCATTCAACGACTTATCATTAAAATGTGCAATTATTTAGTCTAATGGAACAACTGAAAATACGATCACCGACTGTTAAGAAGGAGTGCACGAAGGGAATCGATAACGGAAGGTTGATCGAGTCCGAGAAACAACCCTTGGTTCATATAGAACCGTTCGTTTTTCACTTATTCTTTCATTGTTTGGATGATTTGTAGGGATTTTTGTGAATGCAGTCAGTAACAGTGATTGTAAGAGATTTTGCTGAGGAGTTTTGATGCAGCAGATAAAGTTTATGGATGTTTTTGTGAAGAAAAGAATTCGATACGACGTGGTTTATGGCGAGATTAAGGTTTATCTCGACGCAGTTCTTCGATTAAAAATTCAATTTCGATTAACGTCGAAGTTCATTTGCACGCTAGTGTCTGAATGATCACATATGCGCCTGTCGTCCATTTAGTGATGCGTTCACCATCAAATTTCAGATTTTATCATCCCGATGGTCTACCGATTCCAGCTGATGACAATGCGAATGCGTTCGAGAAGGCAAGAAAGGTGTTTGAATCGAATCACAATGAGGTAATTCGATGTGAATAGAACTGTATATCGTTTGAGGAAATTATATGTTGGGTTAAAAAGTCGTGGTTTTGATATATTATGATCAGAGGAGAAGAAAGTTGTATTTTCTGATAATGCAATGATTATCTGTCGAAATCAGCTAATTTTAAAAATCAACTCATATCCTAAAACGATTCAGATCAACTTCACGCAAATGCCATCGATTTGTGACGCTCTTCGCATACCAGTTTATTGCAAGAAGCCATTATTCAACAACTGCGTTCAAACACCAAGCGACGAAACGATTAATTTGCTTGCGTT